GGGGGGGGGGGGGGGTCTATCACAGTATTGAGCAGGCTCGGCCGAACTGGGCTTGTCATCACTATTCTTAAATCACAGAGCAGCCTGATTATGCTCTAAGACATACCAAACTGGGCACTGTAAAAGCTTACACTAAATGCTACTAGTCATCAGACTTTGGAAGGCCTAATTGGGACAGGGCGTGCACACCCGTAAATGGGCTGATCCCCGGAGTGACGGGTGCTGCGTGTAACTGCACGCAGCAGCCTGTTCTTTTCCATGGGAGGACGCAGCTGTACGCTGTCATCCGCACACCCTTACTTGCACATCCGTGCAGGTCCAGATGTCCACACTTGGACACGCGCTGTCTGCCTCCAAGTGTAAGAGGCCACTAATAAGTGGCCTCATAGGGAAATTAGGAAGGTACAGGAGGTGGTGGACCAGTCTTTGACACTACTGGTGACTGTTGAAACATGCAGATAGAAGAGATCTGAAATTCAGAGGTCCCAAGGCACACTTAAAGTAAACTGTGCACTAAAATGCAAGGTCAATTTATGTGGCTGCCACAAAAAAAAGCCACTTGGAAGAATTTTTAAAAAAAAAAAAAAAAAGATTTTCTGTAGAATCAGTGATCCTAGTAAAACTGGGGATGCCAAATCCTGCAAGAAGACGCTCCTATATTATTTTGTGAGAATCTCTCTGTGAGGCCCATTGACACCAGCAACAGGAAACCTGGAGTAAGGCAAGTATTTCCCATGACTCTTCTTTCAGGCCAGGTTCACACCTGGGCCATCCGTGACCGCGTGGCAATCGTGTACGAAACCGTACGGATGGCCACGTGGTCATGGAGTTGTACACCACCGCTGATCGCGCTGGCGGTGCCCTTATTTTGTAATAGCACCCCAGGCGCGCCAGTTACCCCGATTGCACCCGAGCCATTGCGCACGATCACAGTTGAAAAAAACGCCAGGTGCGTTTCGCAAAAAAAGGGACATGTATGTTTTTCAGTGATTGCTATGCGGTTGTAAGCCCATTGAAATCAATGGGGCTGGGCTGCAACCGCACACAATCGCATGTCCCGGGATCGCATGTCCAGGGATCGCCCAAGTCTGCACCAGCCCTCAATGTGTCTATTTTGGTTCTGTAACACAGTCTTTTGTTAACATTGAGTGGGGGCAGCCATGTATACAGACTGAGTTTTAGAGCAATGGCCAGGAATACTTTAGCATGAAACAATACATCTAAGGCTAGGTCCATTTAAATTTCATTTGCACTGACAAGCTCCTGAAATTTCTACATATATCTAGTAAACTACAGTTTTATACAAACCTATTCCAGCAAGCACAACGTCAGCAGGAAGAACAGCTCCATTTCTCAGAAGTACCTCCTTCACCTATAAAGAGAGAAAAGACAGTGTCAGGTTTATTGATGTTCCACTGATGTTCTGAGTGCTAATTAATCTTTGCTGAAATGTGCAATACTGAACTGAAAAGGGACAGAACACAATGTTAATACTGTTTGCAACCAAACCATATGGCTACAACAGTATCACTTTCAAAAGCAACCATAAAGAAGGACTCCAGGAATGAACCAAATTAACCCTTGCAGTGGAGGTAACCCATGCACTACAAGGGTTAACTGCTCGTTTTGGTCTAGAGACCAGAATACAGAAGATATACTCGATTGCAAAACAATACCGGCGCCTTCAAATCCAAAAAGAGCCCAGCAGTAAAAATACAGCAAACACGATGGAGGCAGCTCCCACATATTAGATGGACCACCAGTCTATGAGAAAACAAAAGAGGGCGCCTCCATAGTGTAAAAATGTTATTTAATAGTAAAAACACGCAGCTCTAATGCTGTACTTACAACAGTACAGTAGAATAAAAACCAGTAGAATAGGGTGAGAGGACAAAACCCCTGGCAGGGAGAATCTGGAGCGATGTAAAACACCACTAACCTCGATCCCTGTATTGATACCGTATATACTCGAGTATAAGCCGAGATTTTCAGCCCATTTTTTTGGGTGAAAAGTGCCCCCCTCGGCTTATACTCGAGTCAGCGCCAGCGCGTCTTCTTACTTACCTCGCCGAGCGTCGCGTCACTGCTGCTCGGTGAGGTAAGTAAGAAGAAGAAAAACCCTCAGGCACTCTATATGTACATGTACTATATACTACATATAGAGTGCACTGAACAATAGATTTACAATTATCCTCTGCTAATATGAATGGGTTAAATGATCCGTAGTACATGATATGTAGCCCTGTACCCCCTTTTCCACTTACAGAGCTAGGTTATTTTTCTTTTAAATAAATATTAATGTATTTTATTGGTATCTATCTACCAGTAGCTGCCTCATTTCCCACCCTCGGCTTATATTCGGGTCAATACTTTTTCCCAGTTTTTTGGCTAAAATTAGGTACCTCGGCTTATATTCGGGACGGCTTATACTCGAGTATATACGGTAAATGGTTTATGCGTTTCTGGGGCACGCACCCCTTCATCAGAACCAATGCCGAACTGTTGTAAGTACAGCCTTAGAGCTGCGTGTTTTTACTATTAAATAACATTTTTACACTATGGAGGCGCTCTCTTTTGTTCCTTTTGTCATAGAAGATATACTCACCTGGTCCTCGGTCCTACAGTGGTAAGCTCTTACCTCTCTTCTCCTCTGCTCCGGCTGTGGTAATCGAATGGACCTGCATTAGATGTGATGACGTCTTTGGGGCTTAAAATGCCGAAGCCCACAGTAGGAAAGGCTGCGGGGACCAGTCTAGCAGTCAGGCAGGATTGAGGATCAGGTGAGTATATCATCCTTTATCCAACCCTTAGAGCTACACAATATGTAAACTCCTGGCTTCCTGCCATTGTTATGGTCTACCTGCCATTATTCCCAACTCTTCCAGGGAGTATTTCCGCCCAACTCTATGTATTTCAGCTTCACCTTTTCATAAATGTAACATAAATAAGAAATCTATCTGGGGTAAGTGGAACTAAAATGCAATTATCTTACTGAAGTGCACCTCAAGACATCACAAATGATCGGTTTGAGGTGGACTGGCCATTTAAGATTGTTACAATTTAGATGGCAAGCTCTCATGGGCAGTGCCTTCCCAACCATCTTTTTTGAATTGTATTGCAACTGTAATGTGTTCTTTATATTGTAAAGCGCTGAGCCAATTGTTGGCACTATTATAAATCCTAAATAAATACTGAGTAATATAATCTAAACAACATGATACTGTATAAATCCACCTTTTATACAGTAGTACTCCCTTTACTCATTACTGGCTGGCATTTCTACCATTTACTTGTCTGCAATAAACATTTGCTGCTTAAGACCAGGTTTTATCCATACAGGAGCATATTACTGGTTATAAATGTATATATATA